ACACACACCCCACCCCCTTCCTTTTAATTAATACTGTTTAAGATATACTTCTGCCAGTCAGGTGAAAACAGAGTTTCAGTCTGATTACTGACAAAAAGTTGCAAGCAACAGAACACCAGTCAGTCTTCCCCACAAGTGGACTTTTTGCAAAAGTCCTTTACCAAAAACCTTAACAATAATTTCCTGTTGGGGAACCACCTTGCTCCTTTCTCCACTAACATTTTAACCAATTAGAAAAGATAACAAAACAAGTATCCTACAACAAGATTTTGGCCCAGATACCCCAAGAAAGATGAAGAAGAGTTGCCATTTCTCCTGAATAAGCATGGACTTTCTAGACTAAGACTTAGTGATTTAAATAACTCTGAGGCCCTGTACCTTATTTTTTTTTAGTTAAGGCTACAAAATACTGTGCTTTAAAAGAAGACAAGAATCCCTACCAAACCCACCAGTTTCAGAGCCACTGCCACGCCAAGATAAAGAGACCACCACCTCACCACACGCATTAGAGAAACACCTTTCTAAGGAGCGGGGCCTGCTCATTCGGTCCCTCTTCACTTGCGGCTCTACCCAGCTTTCCTCTCCAGCCTTCGGACATACGCCCTGAATTAAACGTTGTCCCTGGGTCACAGGAATGCGAGTGCTGCTCACAGGAAACAAAAGAGGCGTCCACTACCTTCACAGGTGGCCACAGACACCTACAGCTCTGTGGAAGTTAAGGAGACTGGAGAAAAGAACACGCTGAATTGACTCATCTGTATCAATCGCTAGGTCTTCCTACACATTATGGCGCTATTATTTTAAATCCTTTCTTGCCTTGCTTTCTTGCTGTAGCTGCCACTCCCACATCCCGATTGCTTGAAAAGCTGAGGCAAGCATGGGTCCCTCTGGAGTTGCTGCTACAGGATTAACTCCTTACTCTCCCCCTGCCCAGCAAATATCCCTCGTCTGAAAACTCTCAGCAGAGACCGAGATGTTGGATTTAGTAGGACAAGGGAAAAGAGAGCTTTTTATGGTGTATGAGATACCACCTAAGAGGACCAGAACACGGCTTGCAACACGGACAGAAAAAAAGGGGGCAGAGGGCGACTTGGTTATGGCAGGGGAGGACGGGCCATCACAACCCAGGCGGGAGCAGCGCGAGGATGGAAGAGCGGGACGGCCACCACCGGAGCACAGCGAGCAACCACCGAGATGGAGCTATTGGGAGAACAGGAAACACGGTAAAAGAAAAAAAAACTACCCAAGAGCCGAACGGCTGAGGAGCGAGGTCGGATTCAACAAGCAAAAAGAAACGGGGGAAGTGTAGGGGGACAGAAGAGTTTCTAGCATCGATAGAAGAAAGCCCGCGCAGCCCTCGTCAGGATCGCTGCCCGCTCACTTCAGCGAGGAGTCTGGCGGGTTAAGAGAAGCAACCGGTAAGCCAGGCCCGGGGCTCCGCCTTGCCCCGCAGCCACGGAGAGAGACAGCGGGCCCAGCCCCCGCCCAGCTCCCCGCGTCTTGGGGGGTATCAGGGTGGGCCTAGACCGCCACGATACTCCCTCCACCGGCTTCCCGCCCTGTCCTCCCCCGAGCGCGGGCAGGCTGGCAGCAGCGCC